AGGTGACTGCTTTAAGTGGAGGAATGACCCTGAGAAACAGAACCCTTCTCTGTAAATACCTGTCATTAAGAAGTTTCTTTTCACAGAGACTTAGCAGAACACACCCAGAAACACTGGCTGTGAACGTGAGAACGATCTCATTAAAGCCACTCACATTCTACAATTCCTAGTTTGCAGGGAGGCTCCACAATTTACCAAATAAGCTGTAATTCCTAACAAGCCAGCCTCCCAGCACTCGGGATAGGACAGCAAGTTCAAGTCCAGCCTAGGATACACCGTAAGCTCAAGGCCAGCGTGAACTACAAAGCACAACTCTGTCTCAAAAAATCAAAATTAAGTAAAGAAATAAATAGCAGTTACAAGAATAAATGAAGTCAGAAATCATTGCAAACACTGGCTGAAATGCAGAGATACGATTTCTTTCCAATCCACGTGAAGTAGAGTCACACATAAAGCCTCCTCTGATTTATCTACCAAAACAAAGTGAAGTCAGGAACAGTGGTGTATACCTGTAGTCTCCGCTACTTAGGAGGCTGAGGCAGGAGGATCGGATAAGCAGAGTTTGAGTCCAGCCTGGGCAACACAGTAAGACCTTGTCTCAACTGAAACATTTTTTTCAAGATCTCTTTGTCAAAATATTAAACTCTTAGGCCTACCAAACTGGAGCCTAATTTAGGAATAGGTGTATTTAATGTTTAAAATAATACAAAAAGATACTGATTACATTTTCAAAGGCCTATCTTACCTTATATGTATTCCAAAATTTCTGCTTCAGGTCTAACACAGTAAGACCTTGTCTCAACTGAAACATTTTTTTCAAGATCTCTTTGTCAAAATATTAAACTCTTAGGCCTACCAAACTGGAGCCTAATTTAGGAATAGGTGTATTTAATGTTTAAAATAATACAAAAAGATACTGATTACATTTTCAAAGGCCTATCTTACCTTATATGTATTCCAAAATTTCTGCTTCAGGTCTAAGAAAATGTCATCTTGTCCCTGAGAAATGCTCATACCTATTTGCAAAAACACACACCAAAAGCATTTTTAAATATTAAGCAGGAAGACTGCTGTAGCAGTTTATGTTCAAGTCTCCCATTCCAAGATGCAAAGCCCCCACCACTATCATCCACTCAGTGTATCCCTTTGGGCCAACAGGGAAAAGAGAAAATAATCTCCATTCCAAAACTAGGGAAGTGTCAAAGGAATAACAAATCCGAAATGGAACTAGGAGGATACAAAAGTTATAGCAGAATAGTTTTTAAACAAAAAGCTATAAGAACACACAAAAACTACATCAGGAGGGTGAGTCTACAGGTGACTTTTCTCAACTCCCAACTTCTGTGAAATGTTAAAAATTTTTAAATTTTATTTGTGTCTGTGTGTGTGTGTGTGTGTGTGTGTGCGTGCGTGTGCGCGCGCGTGTACGTGTGCTGGGGAGCGAACCCAGGGCCTCATCCACACTAAGCACAACCTCTATCACTGAGCTACACCCCCACCTTAATTTCATTCTTTTTAGAGAAGGCTGGTGAATTCTGAAATAAATACTCTGGCAACTACAAATTTACCCTCAGTATTATTCTCATCAGAATAAACCCCAATTTAGCGTTCCTAAAAACACTTTGAAATTTTTCTCCTTCAACATCCCTGAAAAGAAATTTTGGGAGCAAGGACAAAACTCTACTTTAAAAAGGTATAATAAAAATGAGTGCTTAAAAAATTCTGTGCCAGATGGGCACTTGCTAGACACCTGTACTCGGGAGACTGAGGCAGGAAGATCACCATGAGTTTGAGGCCAGTGTGGGGTACAGAGTGAGTTCAAGCCCAGCCAGAAGTACATGGTGAGTCCCTGTTTAAAAAAACAAAACAAATAAAAACACTTCCCATCCCTGATTAGGACGGACGGAGATAAGAGTTAAGAGTTTATTAGTTAATTGCAGGAGATTCTTAGAATAAGAGTCATAGGATTATAAAATATTATTAATACTGTCTTCCACTTACCCAGCACTAATTAAATGCTAAGCACTTTATGTGCAACATTTCACCTGAATCCTCCTAAACAATCTGCTGAAGTAGGGAGAGTTAAAAGGAAGAAAAGATATTATGAGGTTCATAGCAGAAGACTCCAACCCAGGTGTCCAGCTCCCCAGGGGAGGCCTGGTTCACCCAACTTCCAAGCTGTGTCTTAAATATACATCCAACCCACCACCCTCAACCCTTCCCTTTTCCTTACAACCTGAAGGCAGGGAAACTGGACCAGAAATCTGAAAGGCAAAGCCAAGCAACAGTCTGGGGAAAGAATCTGTTATCAGGGGCCTCTGGCCTGAATCACAGGTGTCCCAAAGCCCTGGGCCTACAGCCTCTTTCTGTTACAGACAGGCTGACAGTATTCTCATCACCAGAGCATCGGAATGAGAGCCCCAGATTGTGTTGCCTTTGGGCAAACCGCACAATTCCTTGGAGCCTCAGTTTCCTCAAATCTAACATAAAATGAGAGCATCTGTCTCACTGGGTGGTTGAAGATTAAATAGGAGTCTGGTCCCTGAAGTCTCCACCCCCGGACCCCAGTCTCTTCAACAGTGTACAAGGCTGCTGTAGTAACAGGCATGAGAACCTGTTTGCAAAACAGGAATTCACAGCCTAAGACCAGGCACAGACACACCAGGTGGCCCCTGCTCTCCAGCCATCTATTCGCCTGACCCCATCACCCACGCAGAGAAAGAAACTGAACGTGCCTGCCTTCAAATAAGTCCCAAGGGGCTGGGGAAGGTTCTTCGAGGCGGTGGCTTGAGTGCCCTCAACCAGTTTTAGAAGGTACCAACAGCTACAGAGAGGGACCTCCTTTCATTTTGTTTTTGTTTTTGTTTTGTTTTTTGAGACAGGATCTCACTATGTAGTTGAGACTGACCTGGAACTCACTATGTAGCCCAGGCTGGTCTCACAGCAATCCTCCTGCTTCGGCCTCCCGAGTGCTGGGATTATAGGCATGAGCCACCACGCCCAGCTGGACCCCCTCTCTTTTTGGAGGGGATCTGTGATCCCCTAGGCCAAGATCAGGTCCAGAACCCTGGAGATTTTCTGAGGTAATGGCTACTCCTACCTAGCTGCCCACCTCCTTCAAGGCTACAGAAACTGCTAGAATATAGAGGCCATCTGATCCCCCTCATATATCTTGGTCAATCATAGAGAAGGCTTCCAAAGGCAAGCCTTCCAACCCCAGGGTGGAATTTCTGAGGACCGGGCTCCCGCACTGGTATAGAATCCCCTCAGTGAAACTGTGTTACCAAAGCAGGACTAGGACGCACAGGAAGAATTTTCTGAGGAATCCGGCCCCACCTCGGGTTCTACCCGCTGTGTCCGCCACCAGGGTCGGCAATCCCATTGTACTGGCGCGTGGATTTTCCACGGGACAAGGGGCCGGCAGGACTGTGGTTCTATGGTGTCAAGCTGGGGTCTCCAGGGTGTCTTTTTCAAGGGGGGATAGATTCCCCGGCCCCATTTATGCCCGAGCCTCGGACTCTGCCCCATCGCAGCTTCTCAGCTCCAATTCGGGCTCCCGGAATCCGACCCGAGGGACCTCCGGTTTCCCAGCTCCTCGACCACCACACTCCCCC